CCCAGGGGCTCTCCAGTTACACCCCCCTCCCTGTTAACTCTCCCACACCCTGTTGATAACTGGTCACAAGTGGGTATTACTGGTCCTGGGGACAAGGGAAGGTGTCTGCCACCATGCTCAGGGGTAGGGGCCTTTGTCCCCAGCTCCATGCAGACCATGACACCCCAAAAAGCCTCTCCCTCCTGGCAGGGGGTGATGTTTGGGTTTCCTGCACTAAATGGGAAATGATGCTCTGGGACAGGAGACCCCAGGAAGGGGGAGACTTGCCTCCCCTGGCACCCCCTGCCCTGGGGACGGCAGAGGTGAGACACCCCTGGCAGTGGCCAGGCAGTCCCCAAGGCTGTCCGCTCCTGTGGTGACCCCTCAGGCCTGAGCTTTATTAAGTCTAACCCACACTATTTTGTCCCCTAGATCATTTTTATCATTTATTCTGCAGACAAAACATTTCTCCCCTTGGCAGCTGGGTTTTCACTTTCAGTGCTTGCAACAGCATCTACTTTTATTGGGGTGGCATGGGCCACCTGCCAGCATCACCCCTCATCACCCCATGCCGCTCGAGATCTATGCATCACCTGGCAAAGCCCCCCTATGGCAAGGGTGGGAGAGGATGATGCTTGGCAAACCCCCTTGCCTTCCCCAATGTCAGTCTGCCTTGGTGCTGGGGCGAAACGCCCTGTGCCTGTCCCCGTCCCTGGGGCAGCTGTGACTCATCGGGAGGCGGGCGAGAGCATCTCACCTTGAGCGGCGGCCGAGGGGGGATAAGAGCGAGGCCACCCTCGCCTCCTTCTCCCGCCGCCCGTTCCCATGCTTGCTCGGGCTGCGCCCAAGCCAGGCACCTTGCGGGGATGTCCCCTTGCCCGAGCTGGGGGATGCCACCAGACTCGGGGGGCTGCCACCCCATTGCGTGCTCTCCCCATCCCACCAACTCCTCGACCCTTTAACCAGCTGCCTGGTGACTGGCGAACCGGCTGGCTCAACCTCTACCGCTTCTGGCAGGAGGGCGGCTTCCACAACGTCCATCACATCATGGCTCGCAAGTTCCAGCAGTTCGGGCCCATTTACAGGTGAGGCAGCGTCTGGCCCCGGCATCCCCCTCGGCTCCCCGGCTCTGGCAGCCTTTCCAGTCCCAGATGCTGCTGCTATTCCCAGCCCTGCTCCAGGTGAGAGGGGCATAAATAGGTGACTGAACTGCCAGAGCAGCTCATCTTGCCGTGTGCAGGCCATGGTGAGGGGCAAGAGGGGAGACCCACTTGTACCTTGTGGATGTATCTTGTGGAGGGGGTGGCAGGGCTGGAGAGGGGCTCTGCCCGCCGTGATCACTGAAGGTCTGGAACTGACATCGAGGGAGATGGAGAGGGTCCAGGTCCAGCACCCCCCCCTGTGCCTGCCTGAGCCCTGGGGGCCTGATCCCGGTGCTGAGCCGCTGTATCCCCTGGGATGGGACCTATAAGCAGGATTTTGGGGAGGGCGAGGCAGAGGGTGGTTGATTTGGGGGTCCTGGGGGAAGGTGATTGATCTGGGGAGGTGAGGGGCTGTGGGGGGATGGAGGTGGGGGTCAGGGTGTGGGGCTGACCCCACTCCATGCCCTGGCAGGGAGAAGCTGGGTGTCTATGAGAGCGTGAACATCATCAGTCCCCAGGATGCCGCCACCCTCTTCCAGGCGGAGGGGACACTGCCGGAGCGCTTCAGCGTGCCCCCCTGGGTGGCTTACCGTGACTACCGCAACAAGCCCTACGGCGTGCTCCTCAAGTGAGTCAGGGGGCCAGGGGCTTCCCCTCAAGATGGGGTGGTCCTGTCGCAATAGCCCCAGCACATGGGGTGGTGAGAAGCTAGAGCATCAGGAGGGTGATGGGGATGTTGACTGGCCCCGTGCTTTGGGGGGTGGCAACCTCCAGGGGGGGTGGATGGGGAGGGAAGCCTCTGACCCCCCCACTTTGGTGTCCTGCAGGACGGGAGAGGCCTGGCGCTCGGACCGCCTGATGCTGAACAAGGAGGTGCTGTCACCGCAGGTGGTGGAGGGTTTTGTGCCTCTGCTGAGCGAGGTGGGAGAGGACTTTGTCCGGCGGGCACGAGCCCAGGTGGAGAACAGTGGCCGGGAGCGCTGGACGGCTGACTTCACCCACGAGCTCTTCCGCTTTGCCCTGGAGTGTGAGTGTCAGGGACATGAGTCTCTACCAGACATGTCCCCCGCCAGAACACCCCTTTGCAGGCTGCCCGAGACAAGCAACATGCTGCGTTTCCCCCAGCTTCACCCTCAGAGGTGGGCAAACAAGCTTCTCCCCGAAAGCCATAAGGTCTAGAGGGATGTCCTCTCTCCAGACAAGTAGAGAACAACTCAACACTGTTGATAAAACACTGTTTTATCATCAACCGGTCATCAACTGGTAGCCAACTCTACCCAACAAGGGATGCCTCCATGACCCCGTGATGCTCAGAGTGAGGAGGAGGTCCCCGTAGCCACGGAAAAGCTGGAGTTGGCCATGGGAGGGTGGAGGGGACGGGGACAGGGTCCCCTCTGGCCAGGTCCCCTCATGGGTGCTGTGCTCACAGCCGTGTGCCACGTGCTGTATGGGGAGCGGCTGGGGCTGCTGCAGGACTTCGTGGACCCCGAGGCACAGCGCTTCATCGACGCCGTGTCCCTGATGTTCCACACCACCTCGCCCATGCTCTACCTGCCACCTGCCCTCCTCCGCCACCTCAACGCCAAGACATGGCGGGACCATGTCCAGGCCTGGGATGCCATCTTCACCCAGGGTGAGCACTCTTCCTGCCTGCACATCCCTGTGTCACCCAAGGCCCCTTTGAGGACTTGGTTTCATAGTGCAGCCTCATCTCACCAGCGTGGAGACCTTGTCCTGGGTCCAACCACCCAGCACAGGGTCACCAAAGCCAGGAAGGCTTTCCACATCTGGAGCTTGTGAGATGGAGCAGTGGGGACTCATCCATGAACAATGAAGGGCAGATGACGGGCATCATGTTTAGGGAAGCAGCTCTCCCAGAGGGGCTTGTGGCCTCAGAGAGCTTTTGGCACCCGGGACGACCCTTCTGCAGGGTGTCGTCCCCTGGGGCACCCTCTGTGCCCACCCAGCCACTGCTGTGTCCCACACCAGGGACCACAGTCCCAGGCTGCTGCAGTGACAACTGTGATGGAAAAGCCACCGGCATGGGGCAGTGATGTCCTAAGGTGCCACATCTGGTGCCTTCCTCCTCCACCATGGCCCTGGGGGAGGAAGGCCATGCCATTTCTCTGTGTCTCCTCAGCGGACAAATGCATACAAAATGTCTACCGGGACCTGCGGCTGCAACGCAAGAGCACCAACGAGTACATGGGCATCCTCTGCAGCCTCATCATGCAGGACAAGCTGCCCTTGGATGACATCAAGGCCAGCATCACTGAGATGATGGCAGGCGGGGTGGACACAGTAAGGAGCAAGCAGGATTGTTTGGTAGGGAGAATGTCCTGGCTGGTGTTGAGCCTTGCTCTCCTGCCCCACTCCAGACCTCCATGACGCTGCAGTGGGCCATGTTCGAGCTGGCGCGGTCCCCGGGGATCCAGGAGCAGCTGCGGGCAGAGGTCCTGGCTGCCAAGAGGGAGGCAGCGGGGGACAGGGTGAAGATGCTGAAAACCATCCGGTTGCTCAAAGCTGCCATCAAGGAGACGCTGAGGTGAGGAGGAGCCCCCACTGAAAAACACCCCCAGCCCCTTCCCTCTCCAAATCTCTGTCACTGCTGGGACATTGTGCACTGAGGTGGGATGTGGGCGGGCCAGGCTGTCCCCAAAATCAGGTGCATGGGACCTGTACCCCCCCAGGCTGCACCCAGTGGCAGTGACCCTGCAGAGATATACCATGCAAGAGGTCATCCTCCAGGATTACCGCATCCCCCCCAAGGTGAGCATGGCCACCGGGTCCCTCCTCACCCTAACCTACTTTGCATGGGGCTCTGGGCAGAGGTGGGACCCAGAGCATGGATGGGTGACACGGGGGGAGCAGCTGTGGGGCTCATCCAGGTCTGGATCCCAGCCCTGCACCCCCTGCCTGCACCCTGAGTGCTGGTGAAGCCCCGTGGGGAGCCCAGGCCCATGGGGCTGATCCTTCCCTGCAGACGCTGGTGCAGGTCGGTCTCTATGCCATGGGCCGGGATGCCGAGGTCTTCCCCAAGCCGGAGCAGTTCAGCCCCCAGCGCTGGCTGGCAGCTGGCCCCAAGCACTTCAAGGGGCTGGGTTTTGGTTTCGGACCCCGCCAGTGCCTGGGGCGCCGGATCGCTGAGCTGGAGATGCAGCTTTTCCTCATGCACGTGAGCATCCCACTGCTGGGGACACCAGGGACTTGGCCCTGGAAGGGACCAGGGAGGTGGCATGTGGGTATTGGTACCTCCAGCATTTTCCATCTGCTCTTTTTCCCTCCATCCCAGATCCTGGAGAACTTCAAGATCGAAACCATGAGAGCAGTGGAAGTTGGGACGAAGTTCGATCTCATTCTGATCCCGGACAAACCCATCTACCTGACCTTACGGCCACTCGAGTCCCAGGAGTGAGGAGCCTGATCCTGGGTGACATCCAGCTCGTCCCAGTTTTGGGGGACATCCCCAACAGTCCAGCAGGCACTTTCAGCTCCTTACAGCCAGACTCCGGCACAGGGATGTGATCTGGGGGACGGCTGGGACACTTTCATGGCCACAGCCTTGGCTTGGCACATCCCTGCCTTCACTCCAGCCTGCTCAAGGCTGCGCTTACGCCACAGGGAAGATAAACTGGAGCAACCCCAGCCCCGCTGCCACCCCTGTAACCCCCAAGGGAGTGCAGGGTGGCTGGGTACTTCTGCACCCCTCCGGCTGCTCGGGGGTCCCCAGGGACCACACCAGAAACCACCACCACGGTCCCCCAACACCCTCTAATGTTTTGCTTCGCCTTAAATTTGCTCTGTAATTTCATCCTGTGAAAAAGCACCAGCTCCTTTCTGCCAGCATTAGATTTCTCTGTCTCTCTCGCTGGGCGCAGGCTAGGGCAGGGGGGCGAGGGAGTGGGGTCTTCTCAGGAGGGCCGTGGGGATCGCCGGCAGGTTCTGGTGGGGAATGGGAAAAGGTCTCGGAGAGCTGCAAATCCAGCCCCCCTCCCCACTCCCCTGGGGGGCATCAGCTGTGGATGAGAGGCTGCGATAAGGGGGTCTGGGGTTGTTGTTGGTGGGTAACCTGGGATGCTGGGGGCGTCCCACAGCCCTAGGGACCACCCTCCCACCTCCCTCCTGCCCAGGGTCCTGCAGGGAAACTGAGGCAAATCCTCCCTGATGTGGGGGTGGGCATGGAGACCCCCTGCTATCCTCTCCCACCCCAGTTGCCTGGGTGCAGAGGGGCAGCTCTGAGCCCCCTTCCATCCCCCTGGCAGCAAACACAAGCTGCCAGCCCCCGTGCAGGGTGGCCCGGGTGCTCACCGAGGCGGGGGCATTGGGGAAGCCATGCTCCTGCTCCAGCAGACGAGTGCCGAGCTTCTGCTTCTCCCGTCCCCACCTCCTCGCTGCCTCCTCCAACTAGGACAGACCCAAATCAGGCTGGCTGTCTCCAAAGCTGGGGGCCAGAGGTGCCCCCACCCCAGCCCGACACCTCAAGCCCCCTGCCATCAAGCGGGGTGTGGGAAGGCGATGCCCACCTGCCTCTCCAGCACCCGCCCACGGGCTTGTGCCTCCTCCAGCCTGGCCAGCAAAGACAGCTTTTCCGTGCCCCCAAAAACACCCTGTGGGCCACAAGATGAGCAGGAGTGGGGAAAGGCAGTGCCGGATTACCCCCCCTTTCCACCTCCTGCTCACGGGGGGAGCAAGCCACGGGGGTGGCTATTGCCCCATGGAGACAGAGAGGCCACCTTGGTGATGCCCTCAGCATGCCTCGTCACCCCCCTGTGTTGCTTTCTGGGGTGCCACAGCTCTGCCCCCCATCCCAGCCCTGTGCTCCCCTCCCCAGTCTCACCGGCAAGGCTGGGGGCTGCAGGGCGACGGGGGGCGAGGGGTGGGGGGGCCTTGCCAGCTTCTCCCGCAGCCTGTGGTTCTCGGCCAGCAGTGCGGCATACACTTCCCTGGAGAGGGCTTCACCTGTGGGATGGGGTAGGGAGGGCACTGGGACATGTCCTCCACCCCCCCAGTACAGAGATGGGGGCTAGGAGCAAGCCCTCGCCTCCCCCATGCCCAGGGATGGGTGCTGGAGGGCTGAGGACCAACTCTGATCCCCCACTGCAAACCATCCCATGGTGCAAACCATCAGAAGGGGATGGCCATCAATGGAGCCCAGCAGTATATGGGTCCCCCCCAGGGGTCCCTGTCCCCACGTGTACCCACCCACTGGCTTCTCAGCGCTCCTGCCTGCCCCAGCAAGCTTCTTCTGCAGCATCCGCTCCATCGCCTCGATCACCTGTGGGAGAGAGTAGAGCTGTCCCCATGTCACCAGGGCATGGGACAGCTTGATGCAAGGCTGTGGTGGCCATCACGTCCCCTCTGGCACCAGCCAGTGGTCATGGAGGGGTGGAACAGGCCAAAGGGTCCCATCTTCTCCAAAGAGCATTGTGCCCCTTAACCTGTCCTTCTCACCCCAGCCTTGTGCCCCCCAACTCACCTTCTCCTGCTGCCTCACTGTCTCCTCCAAGCCCTTCATCTTGGCTACCTTCTGCTGGCACCTCCTCAGAGTGGCTTGCTGCTGCCGCTGGGCTTGCTGGAGCAGCACCAGTTCCTTCTCCTGGTCATTTTTCTGGGGAGGAGGAAGGGGAAAAGCTCCCAGGGACCTCTGTGCTGAGCCTCAAGCCTTGGGCCGTCACTTGTAGGACTGGGAGAGCCTCATGGTGGGGGTCCTGGGGCTCTCAGGCACTTGCTTGGCTATAGGGGTGCTGTGATGCTCTCCCTGCTGCCCCCCTGCTCCTCTGCCCCCACCTCCTCCCTTGGGCAGCCCCTGCCCACTCCTGCTGGCGTCCATACCCGGATCAGCTCATTCTGCAGCTGCTGCATACGGTCTTTCAGCCTCTTCATCTCCGCCGTGCCAGCCATCAGCTTGCGCTTGAGGGTGGCTGCAAGAGCCCATGCCGTGTCCTCGGCACCCAGCCAGGGGACGGTGTGGTCCCCTTCTCTGTGCCAGGGAGAGGGGTCCCCTAATTTCCACCCACCCCACTTCCCCATCACGCACCAAGCCTGTCCAGCAGCTCCTCCCGGGTCATGACATCCAGGTCCACATCAGTGAGCAGAGCGTGGCCCAGCTCCTCCTGCGAGGCCAGGCTGCGCCGCAGGTGCCCATTCTCCACCTCCAGGCTGGTGACGTGCTTGCGCAGGGACAGGAGGTCCCCTGCCATTTGCTTCAGTGCCAGGCGGTAGCTGCTTGCCTCCTGCCAGCCCAGAGCAGAGCCACTGGCACCCCGCTGCCAGCCCGGGCTTTCCCCGGCACCAAGAGCTCAGCTGAGGATATTTGTCTTGAGGGTTAGACCTACCATGGAGGAGCTAAGGAACATCCAGGTTTTTCCCTCCTCTTGCAACCATCCATCCTTTTCTTTCCCATCCACCCATCCATCCATCCATCCATCCATCCATCCTTCTCTTCCCCATCCATCCTTCTCCAACCATCCTTCTCCAGCCATCTATCCTTCTCTTCTCTAGCCATCCATCCTTCTATTCTCCATCCATCCATCCATCCATCCATCCATCCATCCATCCATCCATCCTTCCCTTCTCCAACCATCCATCCTTCTCTCCTGTCCCTCCAAACCTTCTTCTTTCCACCTCTCCCTCCACCCCGCAGACTCCCCTCCCCATTTCTCCATCTCTTCCTACCACCCCCTTGGTGGAAAAACAACTCTCCCAAGGATGTGGTGTGGAGCAGTGTTAGAGCTGGGGGTCAGCCTCAAGCTCTGAGCCTTACAGGGCTTTGCAGGTCTTTAGAAGAAGGGAAGTGGTGAAGAATAACGGAGGGATGAATATTTTGTACAAATGAGCCTGGGGCTTTTTTTTAGCACCTGTGCAGCTGGGAAACTCTTGCCAGGTGATGCTGGGGGAAATAATTCCCCGAGGGTCTGTGTCTTCTCAGGCTGACCCTCCTGAATCCCTCCCTGCCATGCTGGGCTGTGGAAAGGATCCTGGCAGCAGGGACCTTGGCCGTGGGGAGCCACGTGCCTCCAGCTCCCCGGGCCCCCTGCTCCCAGCCTTGGGGAAGGGGGGAAGGGGGGAGCAGGTGCTGCCAGAGGCTCAGCTCTTTCCATCTGCCCAAGAGCTGTTTCATCCAGGACTCAGTTCATGCCCAAGAGAAATGCAAAGGCTGCCTGCCCCCCAAGACCTTCACTCACCGGCAGTGTAGAGCCGACAGCAGCCTGTCTTTGGTCCCCACAAGAGCCCCAAACCACCTCGGGGTCATTGCTGTCCCCCCTGGTGCCCACATTGCCCCCTGCTCCTCCAGCCTCCCTGGCATTCACTGGCTCCTGGTGGTCCCTGATGATCCCCTGGGACCTACGGAGCAGAGAGTGGGTGAACACTCTTGGCCAGCTGCTTCCAATGGAGTGAAACACCAGAAAAGCATTGGCTGGGGAACCTTCCGTAGGGGACAGGTGCCTATTCAGGGTGCCAGGGGGCCAGGCAAATGCTGCTGGGGATGGGGGTGCAGGGAGGGTGGGAGCCTGGAGGAGATGAGGAATAAGATTGGCAGTGATGGGGCAGGAGGAGAAGCTGCTGGGGAAAACATAGGGAGAATGGAGGAAACCACCACAAGGAGGATGAGAAGAAAGAGCCAAGAGGGGGCTGCAAAGCTGGCGTGGCCCCCGTACCTCCGCTCCTCTGACGGGGCTCCCGTCCTGCACGGGAATGGCTGCTTTCCTGGCAGGATGCTGGCCATGGCATCAGACACCGGGAGGGCCACATCATCTCGGTGGAGCTGGCAGGAGACACCGTAGCAGACGGTGAGGATGAGGAGCAGCAAGCTCCTTCAGCCCCTTCCCCACGGCCAGGAGCTGCTCTCCTGGCTTTCACCTGTAGCAAATCGCCTTTGCCATCGTTGCTCTGGGGGCAGGAGCCAGCCCTGCCCCAAAAACCTCTGGCATCGCTGGCTGCGATGCTTCAAGCATCCCCCTTTGAGGCTTGGATACAACATGGTGGGGCTGGAAGACCTTCTCCTGAGGATGGGGACACACAGAAATGCCTGGCTTTGAGCATCATCTCATTGCTAGACCATTGAGCCACGCACCCTCGGGAGGAAATTTGGCTGTGACTGAAAGCAACCCCAGCAGGGTGCTGTCCCTGTAACAGGCACCTCTGGGTCCTCAGCTCCCATTGGTGACACCAGCAACAGGGTGATGTCCCCATCCCCACCCACCGCCCCCTGGCACTCACAGTGGAGGAGAAGGGTCTGTAGTACAGCATCATCCCCGCTCCCGGGGTGCCCCAGTCCCCCCAGCACCCCGCTCCTGGCAGCCAGGCCTGCCCATCAGTGGGTTGCCAGGCTCTGCCTGCCCCAAACAAACTCCCCAGTGGCTTGGCCACCGCCGGGTGAACAGCCCGTCCCCTCGCCACCACCCAAGCTGCTGGCCGGTGGACTTACAGCGATGCCGGGGTGTTGCAACATGAGGAAAAGCTGTTTTTCCCAGTCTCTTTCTGCTGGCAAAGAGATTTAAGTGGCGCAGGGGCCCCCCGGCAGCCTGGTACGCTGGCGGCTGTTGCTACAACACAACCCTCCTCTTAGCAACTCCTCCCTGCAACAACTCAGTGCCTAAAATCACCAGGCTGCACCCTGATGGCTGCACTCCAGGTGCAGGCAAGTGCAGGCAGCTCTCTCTGCTGCTCCTTGTCCTGGTCACCCGCATCTCTTCCCCTTTAGCATCCCTCCAACCATCGCATGTCCCATTGGCGTCCTACAGCCACTTCCAAAGCCATCTGGGGCAGCAGGCAGCACCTGCCCACAGTGCTGCCTGCCTGCGAACACTCCCTTTGAGACACCAGCCCCTCGCTGCCCCCAGCCCTCTCTCCCCAGCCCCAGCCCAGTTTTGGCTGCCGTTGCCTTATCTCCTGCTCCCAGCAGCGCAGACCCAAGGAGGTGACTCGGTGGCAGCCACCGCTGGCTCCCAGCACGGATGGGTGGCTCTGGTGGTGACAGCACCTCATTTCCATGCCTTGGATGAGGGCACGGAAACGCTCTCTCCTCCCAGCACGCTCCTCTGATGTTTCAAACACTCAATTAACTTCTGAGGACCCACATCTTGGAGATGCTGGGTGGCATCGCGCTTCAGCTCTGCCTTGGGGTTTGGCCTAATCCCAAGCCGAGAATAATTTGCTGAATAATTCACTGATCAAACCCCACTTTCATCCCGAGATTGAATTTATAGTGTTTTAAGGCAAGGGATGCTCTGCTCCAACTGGTCCCCCAGTCCCGTCCCCCTTTCAGGGTAGCCACAGAGGGCTCTTGTGCCTCCACCCGCTGCAGCATCCCGCAGCCACCTCTCCTTCGGTGTTTGTTAAGAAACAAAGAGGCTGGTGTAAGTCGATGGAGCCCCTTGCTACCTCGTCCCGTGCCATCAATTTTTCATCAAAGAGCCGGTGGGAAGCGCACAATTATCTGCTCCATCAATAATGCACGGGACTGCACTTGGCTTGCCTGGGCTGGGCAGCTGCTTTCCCTGCCTACCCTGGAAGCTGCTGGCTTGAACCATGGCTTTTCTAGGCTCAAACAACACCTGCAGAGGCTGGAAAACCATCCCCAGCCTTTAGTTCCAGCCTAACGCTGCTCAGACACCCACAGACCCGTATTTCTGCCCACGCTTGTCCCAGCATCTCCCCGGTGCTGCCTCTGGGGACAGGGGCAGAGTTAAGGGTATTTGAACACGTTTTCCCCTATACCTCCTATCTTAAATCCACCCAGAGATAGCTGTGTCTCTCCGTCCTGCAGGGGTCCGGGATGAAAGGCTGGGAATTCACATCTGAAATGATGGAAGCTTTGAAACTCCTGGCAATCGCTAATTTTTTTTTTCCCCATCATTTCCAAGCCTCTGAAGCTTCCCCTGCCTTTAGAGCCTTTCATCCGCCCTGATGAGCCACCCCCCTCCTTCCCGTATTTGCTTAGGCCAAGTTTTTTTTTTATTTACTTAACAAATTGCTCCAAGACGCTTTGATGTATCCGATTAGCTTTGACTGCTGGAATCAATTCATCTCCAGACGGAGCAGCACAGACCGAAGCGAGGTGGGGGGGCTAGCAATAAACCTCCGCAGGAGGCAGGAAGGTCCAAACGTGGCCGAAAATAGGGTGTGCCAGAGGATTCTGCACCCGCATGGCATGGCCTGACCCCATCCCTGGCTGGGGAGAGGACAGCATTGCACCCCGGAGGGAGGCTGAGGACAGGCCAACTTGTTTCACTTGTGAGCATGGAGGCATTTGAGTCCCTGGCAGCGCACCAGCCTCTTCTGCAACACAATCGCCCTCTAGCTCAACAAATAAAGCATCCCTGGATGAGTATTAAGCCCAATTCCTTAATTGTTATGAAGATGGGATAAGCTCAGATTTACATATCTGAGAAAAAAAATTGCTGCAGCAGCTTAGGAAGATCAGAAGAAAAAAAAAATCCCATTTTCCCCTCCTTTCTGTAACAAAAGCTCATGAAACCATCAGGAGATAATGATGCCTTCATTTGCTTCGCCCAATACCCCCATCAACCTTACCCATCCCCTTGGGACATGGGTACTGGATGGGGCTGGGGGGGATGTCAGGTCCCCGATGCCCCCAGCCCCTCCCCAGGGACACATCGGTACCCAAACCCATCCTCAGGACAACATCAGGGTGGGCAGGTCAATGGGGCAACTGGTTTTTTTTGTCCTTCTACTTCCAAAATCAAAGGATTTGCGGGTCACCCGTGGGAAATACGGAGATTTTTAGCCTGGCTGCTCCCCACACACCTTGGCAGGATGCACCAGCCGGCGAAAGGCAGCAAATAAGCAGGGTTTTATCTGATTAAACTAAGGCTGAACTCCCCTCCTATGCATCAGGGTTAGGGGGGGAGCCGTGCTGGGGCGGGGTATATTAGCCAAAGCATTACAATTCAATTTAAGTGTTAATTGGATTGCATTGAAAAGCGCTTAATGTGAGCCAAGTTCGATTTAATAGAGACACCACATCTTCTGCTCCCTTCCCAGCTAGGACGATGATTTTAGGGCGGACGATTACCATCACTATCCGGCTCGGGGCCCAGCTGCCGGCTGCTGATATCGTGTCGTACAAGGAAATAAAAGCCTCTGGATTACACTGGGTAACTCGGGGAGGCAAGATGCTCAGTGTAGAGACGACCGTTCCTCATGCTCCCACCTGCCTGCCTGCTCCTTCAAGATAAGGCTCAAGAAAGCAGTTATGCCACCAGCAGGGACTATGATTCCTCTGCGAGTCGCTGCTGGTTTATTTTGCTTAAAGAAAAAGAAAAAAAAAAGAAAGAAAAAAAAGAAAAAAAAAGAAAAAAAAAAGAAAAAAGAAGAAAAAAAAGAAAAAAAGAAAATCGGCGGCTAGGAAGAGGTGGGATGACTTTTGAGAGCAAACTCTAGCTGAGTCAGCTCATGGCTCCTGAAAAACAATTTTTCCCCCATCCTGCTGCACGGGGCTGCTTTTAGGAGGGAGCGGGACATCCCGAGTGATGGCCCTAAGTGATGTCCTGCTGCTCATGGCGACCAGGGGGAAAGGGAGGAAGGGGAGGTCAGCAGAGCCTCCCAGGATGGGTGTCTCCTCCCAGCATGGGTCAGAGCATTCCCCCAGTGCTGCTGCTCACCCATGACCACAAACTGAGACCAGGCCTAAAAAAGCCCCCTCCTGAGATCAAAAAATTAGGGAAACAGGTTACGACTGTTACTCTGGGTTCCTGCTGGGTCTTTGCAGGTTTTTTTCCTCCTAGGAAAACAGCCTCATCTGTTCTTAAGATAAACATGTTTCTAGCAACTGGGGATGTGAAGATGTGGAGAAATATCACAAAAAAACCCAGTACCAGTGGGAGACTTGGCAGCTCCCCAAAGAGTCTGTTTTCCAAGCATACCTTTGAAAATCTGTACATGGGACCTGAGTTAAATAACTTCCTCTAGCCCCACACTTTTTAAGTGCCCTCAAAGCGTTTGCATCCCCTGGGCTTTGAAAAATAAGTGGCTGCAGAGAGATAAAACCCGAGCATCCCCATCACCCCCGGTGACAGGCGCTGCTGTGACTTGTCCTTGGCCTGGCAGGCAGTTTATTGCCAGCAATGTGGCCATCCATTTTCATGTTTGCTTATGTATTGACTGGTTTTACTGATAAAACGCCCCTTGCATTTCAGCAGTGAGCATAAATCCATCAACACCCCAAGCCACTGTGCCGAGAGCACCCAGCGCCGTGCAGCACCTGCTGCCACCCACCACCCTGAGCACCCACCACCCTGAGCATCTCCCCCCAGCCACAGGGCCCCATCTTTCATTAATTAGCACTGGCAAAGGCTGAGAAGTCACTAACTGAGGATGGATAAGCCCTTCTGTGCTATGTTCACCAAGGGCTTAGTAGCGCTGCCAGGAGTGGGTTGCAGCAGGACATACAAGGGCACACAGATGCCAATGCATGCACCTCCAAACACAGAAAAAATGGTATTTTGGAGCCAGTTTTCTCTTTTTACCCTGCTCTGGCTCACTGCTGGGGTCCCTCGTCCATACCCCCCTGCAGTCACCCAGACCCAAGCAGGAGAAGCACATGTAAAGTCCACCAAACGCAACCCATTTCCCATGCCTGCCCTGAGCCTGGATCACAAAAAAAAACCCTCATGCAATGTAGCTGTGGCACTCAGACCATTTGCAAACCCCCCAACCCATTCCCAGCCTCCTCCACCCCTCTGCCGTTGGGTCCCTGTCCCTCCAGCACCCTCCGCTGCCCTGCAAAAGCTATGTCCCTCT